AATGGAGCTGGTAAAAAAAGCCCGCAATTTAGGGTTACACCTCGTAATCCTCAATGTGGCTTAATACCACTGTTTGATTGGTTGTGTAGAACAAGCAAAATATCGTAGCACAAAATTGAGCAAAAGCAACGTAAAACAGCAACATAGCAGCGTTCATGTTGAAACCGAAAGCAACCAAATTGAAGCAACCTAATGGCGCCGAGTGCGTCAGCGCCGCCTATCTGCCGGTGAGGCGACTACTAAAAAGAATAGGTCTATAGGACCCCTACGGGAGTCAGAGTTGCGCGTTCATTCCCGGAGCGCCGTGTCTTCTGCACGGCCTGTTGATGCTGCTCCTCACGTGACTGAATTTGGCGAATAGAGGCGCCGCGCGTTCGAGGCACGCGCACGCTCAAAAGCAGGGGAATATAATTTTTTTATTATTTTAAATATAAAATAATAATAAAAAAAAAATATAAAAAAAATACGCCGAGGCGTGTGCAACGTCTACTTTCCTGCACGGCATTTGATCCGGCTCCTCACGTGGTCGGATCTCGGCGAATAGCGGCGCGGCGACACGTGGAAAGCAGACGCGTCACTCTGGCTCCCGTAGAAAGCCGATACAGGAAATCTAATTCGGTCTAAATCGGCCTAATCGACCCCATAAGTGATGGCGTCACAACATAACGCTCCGCTCCAAACAAACCGTTGCCAGGGCCGTTGTTACCAACAGATACAGAGGGGCTCGACGTGCGGTTAGGAATTGTCCGATAAAAAAGCAGATATTTTTTATACGCATTGATATTTTCAATGTCTAATCACGAAGACTTTTTGTATCGTCTCTGTGCCATAAAGCGATGACAAAATCCCACAATAAACATTCACAAAAGATTTTGCCTTGCTAGCAGACGACTGAATGTCTTCGTGGGTTCAGTGGCTCTCTCTGAGGGAGTCCACGGAGTGTGCAGAAAAGACGGGGACGAAGGAGGACAGGACCCAAAAGAGGCACAACTTCCAACTGATTTTATTGAAACGCGTTGCGGTATTTGTAGCCAAACTTTGTCACGAAAAAAAACAAACAACCATCACAGAGCATGTTCACGGTACAGCATTATCTTACTCCCAGGTAAGCAAGTTCCTTTTCAGATAGAGCTATCGAAGGCTTAGCGATACACGTGTCGCCTAAGTAATTATTGGGATCACCTTCTACGATTTCACGTGTTATCGTAGGCTCGCCTTTTTTAATTCTAACGCATCCATCAAATAGTGGAGCCTAACCGCATGCCTTGCAGTTCATCTCAAGAAACCCATCCTTGTGTTTTTGCACATTGTTAGAGTGCTTGCGAAGCCCATCATTTAGGCATCGCCCCGTCAGCCCGACGTATTGTACGCCACAAGACAGCGGATTGCGATATACCATGAAATGCATGACAGTCGAGAATTTTTGTTCAGTGCTTCTTTTCGCATCCGTGTTTGGCAGGCACGTCAAGGTTTGTTAGTTTCCAAAATTTCATGAGCGTATTGGGCGCGGAAAACACTACCTTTACACTTGACTGTAAAGCGATTTTCTTCGAATTGTGCGACACTTGGTGAATATACGATATAACAACGTTTTTGTTTTTCTGTATTGCCTTCTGGCTTCCACTGTTTTCTTCTGATACAGTGATTTTCTAAAAGGCTTGCAGCAACCGCAACAAGAATGTGCTTGGAGTACCCAGCTGCGGCGAACCCCATTGCGTGCTACTCAAAACCAGCAGAGGTCAAATGCTCAGTGGAATGCTTGAATGCATAGTTAACACAGAGGCTTACAATACTTATTTTGATCAGCTTGGAGTTGGCTGAATGAAGAGGAAGCAGCGGCTTATGCGCACGCGGATGTGATCGTCGAGAAATAAAAACCAGAGGTAAAGAAAACATAAATGTGTTGTCTACGGGCATCTCATGCGTGGTGTTGAGCGTGCAGTGGCATTATTTAAAAGTGGTCATGGTTTTTGCAGTCTCTGCTTCAAAAGCTTTGGGATCGGAAGTAGTAATAACTATGAAATCATACACGAATCTAAAACTTCCTTTACTTTAGACCCTTGAAACCGGCTGTTAAGCGTGCTATCAAGTTGTGCTAAAATAAATGGCTGAGGACCGGCGCGATGCACTACCCGATACATATGCCCTGTTTTTGCAAATAATGTTAACCATCATGGTGAATAAAATTTTCCAACGATAGCAAAATAAGGAATTCTAAAGAGCCACTTCTAGAAATCCCGATTTATTTTTAAAGGCTACAACTCAGTGCATTGACACGTTTGGTGTGGTAGCCTTTCAAAATATGTCGGGGATTTTTAGCAGTGGTTTTTCAGTACTCAAATATGTTGTATAAATGCGTTTCTACGACTCCTTACTCTTTTTGAAGCAACCGAAAAATGGTGACCAGGACGCACGGTGTAAGATACATTTAGGTGATGATCCTCTGCCAGACGCGGCGACCACACTATGTTCGGCGTACAGAGCGCTTCACTCGGACGGGGATAAATGGCGCCCAAGTAGTCGTGTCTGCTGGTCGTAAAACCCAAGATCGAACAAGGTTCTCTTTCCTTTCGACTCTTCGCATTCTAAACTCGTAAAAATAGGCATTGCTTCATCTTGCCTACATGCGGTTTTGGAGAAATCAGGCAACCATGTAATGCATGCCAGTTTCGGCCAGCAGCTGGAGCTATTGGTTGCGGCTGGATTCCCTACATCGTTGTTTTTACCTGTTCCAGAGTCGCTACTTAAGAAGGTGATGGGTGGGCTACAATGAAAAAGAAGACATGCCGAATGAGAGAGCGATATTCATTCCCTAACATCGTCAAATACCCCACAACCTAAGAGTGGCCTAGATATACGACACGCTTATGGTGTTTTGTTTACCTAAGAAACTCGCGCAACTGTGCCTAAGGGTTGCCAACAAAATTGTATCCAAGCGCATTTGCTCAGTCAAATATAGGAACAAATATGTGGAATGTACGATGAGCGTCGTGTATAGGAAGGATTCTGCTGACGTGCGGCGAGGTATTCGTCGGCCAAACGGGCCGATGTATAAATTAAATATTGGGTGGGCATGCTTGGTCTCTGCGGTCGACAGCTGAGAAGCACTTGGCGCTTCATTGTGCAAATCGTGGATGCCAGCCTGTCAGACGGCTAGCGAAAGTTTGGAGGCCTACACAATCAAGAAAGGGTCTGGGCAGCGAAGTCCAAACATCGGTCCCTCTACATAGCGAAGACATGATATCTGGACACGTGCTGAATTGACTATGCTGGTGGTGAATGCTGTTGCTTACTTCGGTGTTTATTATCAATAAAAACTTCACTTTAATATAAACGCTTGAACTGTGCTCACCTTCTACTTTCTCTCCATTTGTTATGCCCTGTGTCGAATCTACTAAGCATGAACCAACTAGCACGCGTCGTCAGCCTAAATATTGGTCCAGTGCGTCAAGAAATAACATTTTACGGGATATAAAATTAGCCTGTTCTCCGAAAAAACTACCAATCTTTCTGTAACTTGCTTATTTGCGTAACAACCAAGGCAGCGAACTGCGGCTTCAGAAGTAAAGGAAATTGGGAAAGGATTTACCACAAGTAACCCATACTTGTTACGAATTAATAACCTGTAACCAATTAATTATAATAATAATAATAATAATGTGTTTTATTCCCTTTACAAATACATACAAATAATGCTGGCCTACAAAAGCAGTATTCTGCTTGTGCGTAGGACCAGACAATCCAGCGAAATACATCATGATAAAAAAAAAAAATCGAACGAGTGCAATGTGGCCATTGATACCAACATTAATAGAAAACAAAGCCGCAATTCGGCACAAAACAGAATGAACACAACTATCGAAATCATAAAGAGGCACGTATACAGTGATGGGAGTAAAGCAGTGTTTATGGAGGTAATGAGAGGCACCAGTTTTTTATTTCTTTTTTTGGTACTTTTATCGAATTTATTTTCATTAAAGGCTCAGTGAGCTCATTAAATAAGGTGGGAATAAAGTGAGCTCTGCATCTTTTTCCGTATCGCGTGTAAAGTCTGGGGATTATAAACCTTTCTTTGCGCCTTAGGTCCCTAGGCTTGTCCACTGGAACCTTGAACGTTGCATCGTAGAAATAATTTATAAACGTAACGTATCTATGAAAATTTTTAAAGAATACAATTTGGAGCTTCTTTGCTTTATCTTCCATATCTAATGTTCCGTATGTAGTTCCGTTGTTAAATTGTTGACTTTCGGTATCATATCATTTTTCGCTGAAATTACGCGAAAAGCATAAACTTTTGGACACATCGCGCGTCCCACGGCCAGTTTAAAAGCCTCTGGATTATTGTCTCAGGAACATTCTTAACCCCTCGCCGTCCCGGCCAGGTTTCGGGACGGCCAGGAGTTTAGCAGGAGCCAGAGGGCTACCATGTCGCAGGAAGTCGGAAACAGCATGACAGAAGCCGCCTTATTAGAGACCAGAGAAATCAGCACTCCACGCCACTCCGTCGTCGTCGTGGTCGACCATCATCACTAGGGAGTTTTCGTAGACCGCGCTGCCCCCTCCGCTAAGCGTTCCGCAACGAAGAAGTTGCTACTGCGCCTGCGCGCCGATAGCTTTGACTGTGGAGTTCCCGCTATCGTAGCGGGTTGCGGAGTGCCCTGCGGGACGGCGAAAACGATCTACGAAAACTCCCTACTGTCAGCGTTGCGGCACGTCCGGCATTAGCTAGCTTTGCTGCTTTGAACCTTATGCAGAAGAAGCATGTTTCTGCTGTTGCTATTCTAAGGAATTTGGTATATTGAGCGTCCGCTTAATATGTGGTCTTAACGCGGACACACTCGGTAACTAGATGCAAAAAAAGCAGACACATTTTTTTTTTCTGTAAAACGCTAAACGCCTATGCAACACAAGTGATTTCGCCCGAAGGTTGCATATATGATCTCAGTATTCGTTTTAATAACATACATATATGACCAGTTTTTAGATTTTCCTAAAACACACTAATGATAAGTGAAGGATTCTGTATCATTTGTTGGCTTGCATGTGCAATTACTAGGATCTTGAACACACGGAAGGATAAAGTTGTCCATGAAGGGCTTAATTCTAAGGAAGTACATCGGGAGATGGGTGACGTTGCATGGCATCTCGGTAGCGGTTATTAGTCCCATCAAGATCCAGCGGTCATCCTTTGTCTTGTACACCAACGGGCCTCCACTGTCGCCCTGTTTGAGAATCGAAAGGCGAATAGAACAAAAAAAGGCATTAAATAGCAGGAACCCACGCGAATGCTAATTTACATTGGTCACGTCTAATTAAGATATAGCGCAGTTTGGGGGAGCCATCGCGCTAGTGTGACGCCTTCCATTTTCGTATCAAAGAAACCTGTGGCTCGTATTTACTAATAAGCGTACTCTCATTGAAAGGTACTTGGAAGCAACATGTCTGCACGGCCATGCACTTTTAATGTGTGTTGTAGCTCAAAACAGGAGCCACTAGACATTAACAAATATTTGAGTGGTGGAACGGGTTTAGTCTACAATTCGGAATGTTACTCAAAGCAGTATAGGCGAAATTATATAAACAACAAACTGCCTACTTATATGCTTATTGCTGTGTGTCCTGTTTGACTAACACTTCTCTGTCCGCTACTCTGGAAGTTTTAGAAGTTATAACAATCAGTTATAAAACTGCCTGTCAAACTTACGTGATCACCTCAGAGAGCACTGCATCGAAGAGCTCCACTGGGGAACGCAGAGAAAGTGTGAATACACCTGGGCTCCTATTTCTCGGAGCTTGTTTCTATACCGAGTTCATTCATAAAGTGACAGTGCAAGGCAATCAACGTGCTTGTTGGAGAAGTTCTATGTCTATATTTTTGCAAACAATCTCGCTCCCGCCCATACTAGCGCGCAAAGAGCGGAGTCAGTTGGTGAGAGGGAGGCGGTTGATTGACCCGGCGAGCGCGTTGCTCCCATTGCACTTCCATCTTAGGGGTGAACGAAGTATAGGTAGAATGCTGAACATTTGGGGTTTGTTGGTACTCTCAAGAAAAAATGGGAGTAGAATGGTGTATCGTTACACTCTTTGTCCCATATAATACGCCCCAAAACTTCGTTTCAACATACTGAGCCCTAGAGTCAAACAGACGGCCCCAAGTTTTACGAGGGGCTTGATAACAGTGCCTTGTAACTTTTTAAACATCTAAAGTACGTACAGAGCGCGACACTGTTAGCGCGAACAAGCGATCGCCAGTTTTTCCAGTTTCTCTCTTTGAAACCAAGGGATGTCATCCAAGTTATTATTGCTACGGAAAGAGCTCATTTAGTTCTATAATGCAAGCGATAAAATTTCGTGCGCAATAATACTATTTAAAAGTAAAATGCGAAAATGCGCCGACGTCGTGATCGCGCTAACAGTGTCGCGATGTGTACGTTCTTTCCCTTTTCACAAATGTTTCCAACGATCTTGCAGTTGATGTCGCCCGACAGCGCTTACTTGATGACCGAACGCTCTCTACTCGCACGTAGATGATATCATGTAGATGATATCATTTTGCTTTTGCGTCTTTGTCTGAACCAATGTTTCTTTGCCTTCCGTGGAGAGGTGTACCATCAAGTGAATGGCTGTCCAATGGGAAGCCCTGTCTCTGTCAATGCCGCTAACCTTGTAATGGAGTATATCGAAGAGAAAGTGTTCGGTGAGATTGTATTTCCTGTCAAGTTTTATCGTAGGTATGTTGATGACACTTTCGTTATTCTAGACAAGAATTTTGTTGATGATTTTCACCAATGCTTAAACAGCGTCCACCCCGCGATTACGTTTACCTACGAGCCTGAACAAAATAACATGTTGTCCTTCTTAGATGTGTGTGTGATCAGAACTGACGAGCCGAACAACAGGATGGAAACCAAGGTTTATCGTAAACCATATGACAGTGGTAATTTTCTAGATTTTCTTTCGCACCACCCTGTACAGCATAAGAAGTCTGTTGTACGAACTTTTGTTCACAGGTCAAACACTGTGCCCTCTAACGCGATATATTGCGCTAATGAGCTCGCACGTGTACAAGAGTCTCTGCAAAAGCGAAACTACCCCGGGCGCTTTGTAGATGAGGTAATCAACCAGACGAAACGAAAAACGCACTCCAATCCAGACGACAAAGAACGAAATCTCTTGTGCATTCCGTACGTTAAGGGACCTAAAACCTGTAGGTATTCGAACTGTGTATAAACCGTACCGAACTATAGCAAGTATTGTGTCTAAGCCAAATGACCCTACCCCTGCGGATGCGGAGAAAGGCATTGTGTACAAGATCCCCTGCCAGGACTGCGGCTCTTCGTACATTGGAGAGACCGGACGCAAGAAGATAACCAGGATGAAAGAACACCAACGTGACGTCGAGTATTCCACGAACGCCACCCGTCTCAAGACGGAGCTGGTCGACCACGCGTGGGCCACAGGACACACCTTTGACTTCACAGCCGCGACGACCTTGGCAAAGGAGGATAGGTGGGGCCCACGCAAACTACTTGAGTCATGGTTCATCCGCGGAGATAAGACGGCGTGCAACAAGAACCGTGGCCCCCTCCCGGAAGCTTACATGGACCTTCCCGATAAATAGGACTGCGTTGACCGATGCTCTCTCATTCCTGTGTATGTACTGATGATGCCTCCCGCATGGGAGGCGAAACGTTTAATGAAGTTGTTTTTCTTGTTATGTGAAGTCGGTGTTCTTATTTTAATCAATATGGTGAATATAAGGCACAACCGCTGGCCTTTGGTTTCTGTCCCTCTTCTTACATTGGATTAAATTGGGATTTTTGGTTTTCTGAAGGAGTTTTTCTGCGACAGATATTAATACATGATTAGGGTACCCCCCCGATAGAAGCCTAGCTATCTGCGCGTCACAGCTGGTTTTTACAGTATGCGGGCATGACTTTTTGATGGCATTTTTAAGGCATAGGTTGACTCCACCCCTCTTAGCTAATTTGGAGTATGCCGATTGATAATGGAGGAGTGGATTTTTCCCCCTCGGAGCGTATGACCAACAAGTACGATGTGAAAGAAAAAACAGTCTGAGGTCTAAGGACCTTGGGGACTCTTCAACCGGAAGTTCATGGGTTATGTCCAAAGGATCCAAAACGTTCTTGAATATCGAGAGGACTAACAGATTGTTTGTCCAGGTTGGACAAACAATCTGTTAGTGTATCATCCTTAGCTTTATCAAAGAAAGAATTGGATTATCAGAGATATCATCAAAGCACGAATAGTGATGAGAAAAGTTTGTAATTTTTAAAATTACACAATTTTACACACCAGAGACCAAATACCCAATAAGCAATGATAAATAACTAATAAATAAATAAATAAAAAAAACAAAAGAAATAAAAATAAAAAAAATATTAAAAAATTAGATTAAAGTTTTAATTTAATTTTTTAATATGTTTTATTTTCATTTCTTTTGTTTTCTTTTATTTATTTATTTATTAGTTATTTATTATTGCTTATTGGGTATTTGGTCTCTGGTGTGTAAAAATTTAAACTGTTCTCATTAACGGCGGAGGTGAAGAAGTTGAAGATTTGAGGAAGAAGAAATATAGGACTGAGTTGTAAGCCGGCGCTCCGAGTCTGTTTCCTTCTTGTGTGAATGTGAGTGTGACTCTCTATCCGTGCTGTTCTATCCAGGCAGTCTATCATGACGAAATAAATAAAAGAAAAGACAATAACAGACAAGTCACGTGACTTTCGATTTAAAATGAAATATAGGGATGCAGGTGCAGGATGATTGCAGGAAGTAGTTTTAGTTGTCTCGCCTCCAGCACGAGCTTCCGACCTGTGACGACACTTTGGCAACTCGTGCGCTCAAAAGCGCGTGCGCTGCCGAAGCACGGTGGAAGGCATAGCACGCTTGCTGGCGGTTGGGCGTTTGAAGACACTCCCTCTTACTCTCATTCTGTCAAGAAGCACAATTGACAGCGTTCTTAAAGGGGCCCTGCAATCCTATTTGAGCGTGTACCTTTTTTGCGGTTTCCAGGTCTCTTGGGGTTCGGGCAAGCCAGCGGGCACGGAGAGAGTAACTAAATATCAGTACGTCATATCTTAACCGGACGACGCGGAAACCTCCTCCACCGACGGAGGCGACCCGCGGTACCGAAAGCACGCAAAATGTGACGTCTTTGGTCCTGGGCTTACTACTGGTCACAACTGCTAAAAGCTTCGTTTTAGTCGAAATAGAATATATAAGTGGCGCGAACCGTTTCAATTAGTTATAAAAGTAGTTTTTGTTCAGTATCTTAGATCAGAAAAGAAACGAGTGCAGTTTATAAAGTGCAAAGACAAGAAATGACCGTCGGCATACCCGCCACTAAGCGGTGGAAAAGGCGGCTACACGAGAAAGGAGTAGTGGGATCAGCCTACGAAAGGGAAGGGTCCCGGATGTACGCGGCGGCGCTGCGGTCGTATGGACAGGAGGATCCGACCGGCTCCGAGCGTTCCGAAGGCCTTCGGCAAGAAGCTTTGTCTTGCGGTTTGGCCGTTTCGCGGTATGGTAGCCCGAAGTGGCTCCCATTCTGAACCGATATTTACCCCGTGTTTGCTGTCGTTTGTGGCCAATGAAGTGTCATGCCGGGTTAGTGTTTAATCGCGCAGCAAATGCAATGAGAGCCGCTCTGGCAGCCCGCTGCATGCAGCCTATCTGGACCATGCTTTAGTGGCGCCCTCTTGCGCCATCAACAAGCAGCGTGGCAGACGGGAGCGCTCGATGAGCTCACCGAATACCATTGACTACCAATACTGGAAACTGGAGCCAAAATACGTGGGGTTGTCGGGAGACACAGAAGTGCTGCCGTCTCTCGGTGTGGGATGGTAAACTATGAGCTCGCAATTAAAAGGATAACAGTCATTCACTGCACTATTTTTTCTCTTCACACTCTCAGGAATTGTAAATACAGTATATGGCAAATCGGTGTGCCGATTTCAATTGAGCAAGAGCTGATACACGGTATTTCTAATAATGAGGTGCGCTTCATATTAGCACTAAGCATTTAGATTATATCGACCTATGTATTACACCTGGTACAAATGACTTACTGGCAATTAGTGATTTTTTAGTAAATTGACAGTTTATGGACCACTCGAAAGGCTATGTCTGTTACTAGCTGTAGTGACTGGGTCTTTGCAGTTAGAAATAAAGCAGAGCAATTCAAATATGCAATTGCTCCAT